GTAACTTAATGTGAGAATGCTTGCCTGGAGCATGTGAGACCCTGGGTTTAATACAGGCTACTGCACAAAGGGTCAGGCGTTGGGATGAGACTGGGAGTCCCTCAGAGACTGAGCTTTGCCCAGTAGGCAGGAGGCCCTGGGTACAGCCCTCTAGAAGAAAAGGTATTGTCGCCTGGGGCTGAGGAGCTGAAGAGATTCTGTTATAGGCCTCTCCTAGTTTCTGGATATTTGTTGTCAATTTTGATGTTCCACGGCTCACAGACATGGCGCCCTGATCTCAGCCTTCACATTCTTCCTGTGCATGCATATGGGTCTCATTTCTGCTTTTTTACAAGGATACAGTCATGCTGGATTAGGGCCTGTCCTGATGACCTCATTTGAACTTGATCATCTGTAAAGAACCTACAGGAGTTCCAAGACAGGCCCCATTCATCAGTACTGGGATTTAAGGCTTCAGCATCTTTTGGGGAGCACAGTTCAAGAGACTGGAAACAGCAGTATTTCTGGAGGTCTTGACAAGGGTTGTATGCACAAATGGTGGGAGTGAAAGCCACTCTGGAGAAGGTTGAAGAGAAAATAGGAGACAGTGGAGACCATGAGCAAGTTGAGAAATTCAGCTGTGGCAGCACGGGAATTTGTTTTGTTTTGTTTTGTTTTTTTTTTTTTATCAGTACCAGGGATCGAACTCACGACTGCATGCTTGCAAGGCAGACGCTTATGCCACTGAGCTAACTCCCCAGCCCGGCAGCACGGGAATTTGGAGGCGCATGAAACTTGGAGGGATGTTTAAGACAGGTGATACTAAATGATCTGTTAGTGAGAGAGAAACTGGTCTGCTATGGACAGAAGGGATAACAGAGGCGGGATTCCTTAAGTAGAAAGGAAGGACTGGGATTGTGGGGGGCATATGTGCAGTAGAGTATGTGGCTTGAGATGCAGGTGGATTCGTGGAGGAAAGATGAGGTGGTTTCAGTTTGGATCTGTTTCCTCAATGAAATAAGAGGTGGGAGTCTAAGCTGAGAAAGTGTTTTATGGAGGATGCTAGAAATCTGGAGGAAGAAGCACTGTGAAGCAGTCTCAGAGTGTGGGAGAAGCAGAGGTGCCCGGGAACCATCATGGGAGTGCCTGGCATTGACGATTGCCTGGTCAGTGATCACAGTGTGCTATGAGGTGATCCGGAGACCTGAGTGACTAGTACTGAGCAGCTGCATGAGTTGGGTGCCCAGTGGGTAGTTCCGTTTAACTCGGGTTGGAATCTGGCCAGAGAAGAATGTTAGAGGAGCAGAGGAGTCTTTGTAAGAGGATGATTCTAATACTAGGTCAAGGAAGAAAGAAGAGGTGATGAGTCACCAAAAAAATACATGGTCATGGCAATGGTATGTGGTCTCTGAGTGGTTGACGAGCTGAAAGGGCTCATCTGAGAGTGAGCTGGAAAGGCAGGAGGTGGCAGCCAGAGTGTGGGATAGTAGGAGATCAGATCCGAGAAGCAGCGCACATACCAGTTAAAAGCTATGTACTTTTTACCTCAGGCCTGGCAAAATGGTTTTAAAAACAATGAGCTGAAGTTTTAATTATCTGCTGCCAAAATGCCAGTCAGGGTGCCAATCCAAGGACTTCTTGTCTTCCGCAGATTGCACATAGCCATGGCAACGCACTGTTAGCTCTGTGCACACAGCCGAGCTCCCTCCACTCCTAGCTTTAGCAGGCTGGAGGAGCCGGTGCACCCTTCATCCATGGCTGAGACTGACCAGCAAAGTCACAGATCTCAGAGCTGCAAGTGCTTCATTGTTTTCCCTCTAGAACAACTTTTTTTTCTTTGAGACAGGGTCTTGGTGTGTAGTTTGGGTGGCCTTGAACTCATAGTGAGCCTCTTGCCTCAGTCTCCCCAAGTGCCGGGATTATAGGTATGCATCACCGTGCCAGGCATCTAAAGCAACTTCTAAGGTAAGGAAGAATAAAAACTATATCCAGTGATTAGATAGGACAAGGTAACCCATCCAAGAACGTTTTAAGAAATTGCCTTGAGGGGCATGTGGTGTCATCTAGAAAAAAAACCTAAGTGGAATGCAACAGGCTTTGGCAGTAAAGAAGCTGCTATTATTTTATAATGTTACTCTTCCATTCATTCTACAATTATTATTGTTGTTGCTATTATTATTTGGTACTGAGGATTGAACCCAGAACCTCACATATGCTAGGCAGAAATCTATCACTGAGCTATCACAGACATTTTATTTTTTATTTTGAGATAGGACCTAGCTAAATTGCCTGAGCCAGCCTTGAATTTTCAGTCCTTCTGTCTCAGGCTCCTGAGTAGCTGAAATTACAGGCGTGTGTGTCACCAGAAAATTACTGGGAACCTATTTTATGTCAACATACCAGTCAGTCGTTTTTTAATGTTTTTGGTCTTGGAACTCCTTTACACATTTAGAAATTGAAGATGCCTCAAATTTTTGTTTTTACAGATTATATCTCTTGATATTTACTATTGTAGAACTGAAAGCTGAGGAATTAAACGATATTTACTTTACATATTAACATAAATAACTTTTTTTTGAGACAGGGTCTCAATATGGAGTTCTGGCTGCCTTTGAGCTCAGTTATTTTGCCTCAGCCTCCTGAGTGCGGGAATTACAAAAGTATGCCACCACGTCCAGCTACCTTTTTTTTTTTTTTTTTTTTTTTTGAGACAGGATTTCATATGCAGCTCAGGCTGACCTTGAACTCACTTTGAACTTGCAACGATACTCTTGCGTCAGCCTACATTTTTTAAACAAATAAAAAATTTATTTTTTGAAACGGAAAAGATTCATCAAGAGTGGCATCCAGATAGTACACAATATGAAATTCCGGCATTTGGGACTCTGAGGCAGAAGGATCACTCAGAGTTTGAGGCAAGGCTAGCCTTCAAGGCTAGCCTGAACTACAAGAGACCATTCTCAAAAACAAGAGGCTGAGGGTTTAGCTCAGCAGCACAAGCGCCTATCCGGCAAGCAGGAGGTTGTGAGTTCCACCCCCAGTACCATTAAAAAAAGTCCCAAAAGTCTTTGTGTCTGGCTTAACATAAACGAGTGGGAATCTCATTATCTACTTGCGTTTACATTCAGTTTCTTGCAAGAGAAAATGAATGTGGAAATGAAACAGCCCAATATGATTATGCAAGCCTGTAGTCCTAGGCATGGCAAATTTGGGCAAATTTGACCCAGCTTGAACAACTCAGAGTTTTTGTTCTAAAACAAAATGAAACGGCCTAGGGATGCAGCTCAGTGGTAGAGTACTTGTCTAGCATGCATGAGAGGGGAAAGAAAACAAAAACTTAGAATATTGATGAAAATATGTTTTACTTTTACTGGAAGGATCTTCTGAAATAGTTTCGAAAGAAGAGCCTCAGAGCTGGGTGTAGTGGTGCACAATTTGTAATCCTAGCACTTGGGAAGCTGAAGCAGGAAGATCCAGGCGATTCTGAGGCCAGTCTGAGCTACATGGTAGTGAATTCAAGGCCAGCCTGGACTACATAGTGAAATCCTGTCTCAAACAAACAAACAAAGAGCCTCAAGGATGCCTAAACTGCTGTGTTACATATTTAGGACAGCCCTCAGGAGTTCAAGGAGCAGCAGGAGCAAACATTGACAGGGATACATCATAAAGTGGTGGAAGAGCTCAGTGAATTTTGATCAGGAAGGCAGCCCAGGTTCCAAGCCTACAGTAACATTTGAGTTGGCTCTTGAAGCATGAATATGTCAATAACACAAAAAAGTGCTGATTTCCTGGCCAAGAGCCAGCGTGAAGAATGGCATGAAACCAGGCGCATCGAGCCCAGTGTTCTTGACCGTAACATGCGTGAAGAGTAGCAAAGAAGTGGGGTAAGAGGCGGAAGAGCATTGTGGGAGGACCAGCTGAATAGAGCTTTTATTCTGCAGACTGTGGGAAGCAAGTGAAGGCTGTAAGACAGAATAGCGCGGCTAACAACTAATGTTTACGGCCCCGTGCTATCTGGGGCTGGCACCTAGTTCTCTGCCCAGCCCACAGAAAGAACTTACAGTGTTAGTCCCACTTCACAATAAAAGGAACTATGTGCCAGTCATGATGTTGTGGTGGCACATATGCGCCACCCTGAAGAGGCTGAAGCAGGATCACCATGAATTCCAGGTCGGCCTCAATTGCTTACTAGACAGTGTCTCAAAAAAAACAACCCAAACCCCCCCAAACAATGACTTCTTATAATTAATTTGCATATTGAATCTCCTTTACCATGGAAAGTATTATTAATGTATCTTTTTTAGTTTCTAGGATTGAGAAAATACGTATTTCCAGATATGGATAAGAAGATAGTAAGGGATAAGCAGTACAAATGCAGGATCTCTTGGTTTCCTAGAAAAATGTTTTCCCTGATAGGCCCAGGAGGAGCAGCTGGCTTCCCTCTGCCCTCAAAAGAGTCTTCCATGTCCCTGGTTCTCGTTAAATACTACTCTCCTTCTGTCCTTGTCATTTAACTTTGGAGTGATCGATTAAAATGGTTTTGCAGAAGTAACATCAAACTCACAAAAATCAAATAGCCAATTTTTTCTCTAAGGATAATGGTCACCTGTGCTTCTGTCACTGGTTGTCTGGCCCAGTGATTCTGGTTGCTCAAGAAGTAAATATGAGTTGAAAGTTTTGCCTGCTGGGAAAAGCATAAAAGACAGTGTATAGTGTGGGGGAGTAAGCTTTCTGTGACTTGGGTTCACTCCCGCAAAATTATAGTTTTATTAAGGAGACAACACCTGAGTTTTCATTTGTATGGGGCACATATGTCAGCTGATCGTCCAAAGACCTCAAACCTCGATCCCAGGCAACACTAAATAGTAATTTAGAAATTACTATTTAGGGGGTGGGGGTTTAGCTCAGCAGCGTAAGCTGTAAGCGCCTGCCTTGCAAGCAGGCAGTCCTGAGTTCGATCTTTCTCACTTGAGTTTTTCAGTTTTATTACTCACTTCAGATGATTTTTCAAAATTTTATTTAAAGAAAAAACAAAACAGTAAAAGGGTACATTACAGAATTTCAAAAAAAAAAAAATAAACTAAGAAATCACTGATGATTTTTGTTTTAGTATCAGACATAATACACACTGCATTACCCAGTTCGTTTTATACATATCTCAGCTGGACGGCCTACTTAGCACTCAACGATACTGCAACATCGATATATAAACCTAAAATAAGCATACACACTTCCTGTGTATCCTGCCCCTAAAAGAACAGGAGAAAACGCTCAAATTACCTTGAAACCCTCCCACCGTTCCAGGCCCTTCCCTTTGACCCAAAGGCCAAGGGTTCGGTCTCCTAGGAGACCACATTTAATCTCTCACGCATGCGCACAGCCTAGATCTGGCTGATGCAACCTTCTGCGAGCGAGCCGCCCACCGAGAGTAAGGAAGCCGACAGGGACATCTGGCAAACCAATCGGCTGCCACGCGGAAGTGTGAGGAAAGACCCGCCCCACAGGGCTTTGCGAAATATGTGTTGCGCCCTGCTGGTGGCGCAGAGTCCCGCCGTCCTTTGGCTCATCCGGTAGCTCGAGAGTGGTGCACCCTCGGCGCCTGTTCTGCGGCCATTTTGGACTTCGCTTCCACCCTCCCTGCTCTATCTACGCAGCCTTCCCTGTCCTGCGCTGTTCCGGGCCTGGTAACGGTCGATATCTCTGGGAAAGTGGCCGCCACCGCCGCGGAAGGGCTTCTGTAAATGTTGAAGAGGTCTCACGCGAACTAGGACGCCTCCTCTTCCAGGATGGCTCTCGCCTCGGCAGCCGCCTCCAGTGCTAGCCTCTCAGTTTTATGGTCCGCCGCTCGCTGCCGACGCCGCTGCCGTGTGTGGCTCTCCCACAGGCGCAGGAATCTGACTACAGCACCGACTCCGCCGCTGGGTAAGGCCTAGACTGTGTAGGCCTCTCTCTCCGAGTCCCGTCAGACCTGCCCGAGAGACTACCTAGAAGCCGGAGATGGAGCCAGGGACGCCGGGTTCCCGGAAAGGCGCCGCCCCTCGGGCGGGCCCCTGGTTCCGGCTGCCCTTCTCCTGGCGCTCGCGAGCGGTAGCTTCCCACTTCCTGGCGCCTGTCCCAGAGCACAGGGGGGACCCCACACTGCTTTCTTCTGCCCAGCCCGAGGCTCAGACCAGCTCCTTGGCGAAGTTACTTTTTCAGCTCCTCGCCCTGCTCCCCAGCTTGCTGCAGAAGCTGCTGACGTGGAGCCAGCTATTCGGTGGCTTGATTCCGACCAGATGGCTGGATTTCGCTGGAGGCTTCAGCCTCCTGAGAGCCTTGAGAGGACGAGAGGACGCAGCCGCCCCCGCTGCGAAGAAAAAGTCTGTGAGTTTGCTGCACCCTGACCTTTCAGACAGTTCAGCAGACAGCCCCTTTGATTGGCTAGGGGAGAGGGACCTCTGGCAGTGTGCATCCTCTGGTCTAGGGTTGGGGGTTAAATCCAAGGGAGGAGCTTTGGACCCTTCAGCCCATGCTTTTTTCCTGGGGCAGCAGCAGTGGGGCATGGAGCTGTTGCCTGGTGGCCTTGAAGCCCGTCTGTTCTGTAGCCGAGAAGTTGGCTCTGCTCCCTCTGGCTCTCTGAACGTTCAGCGCTTAGACAGTTTCAGCGTAGTCTCCTATTTGCTGCGCCCCTCCTACTTGGATTGCCTTGCGGAGCTAGAGCTCAGCTGTGAGAACGGCCCTGGAAGGACCGAGCTAGTTGGTTTCCAGACCCTAACCTCAGAGAGCAGCTGCCTTTCTGAGAATCCTTGTCATTCGCAGTCACTCTCTGCAGAGAACTCTGCGGCTTCGTGGCAGGGATATCCACCTCTTTCCAGAGGAGGTCTCCCTGAAATCCACCATGTTCGTATGAAACGGCTGGAATTCCTTCAGCAGACTGGCAAGGGACAAGAATTACCCACGCCTGACCAAGACAATGGCTACCACAGCCTGGAGGAGGAGCATGGTCAGCGGGTGGATGTGAAACACAGTGCAGGTATCCCTGCTGGAGCAGTGCCTGGAAACAACCAGGGGTCTGGTGAAGAAAAAAGGGAGCTGTTGACTGAGGAGATTCCACTTGCTCTGGAAGAACAAGGCCCTCTGGGAAGCTTTCCATCTGTTGAGGTAGCTGTGGAGAAAGAGCCTGGGGAAGACCAAGTCAGTGTAGTTGACTCTTGTGACATAGAAGATGGCCTTCCCCTTTCTGCCAGACCAGCTTGTGGTAACAAATTGATAGATTACATTTTGGGAGGTGCATCCAGTGACCTAGAAACAAGTTCTGATTCTGAAGGTGAAGGTTGGGATGAGGAAGAGGAGGATGATGGTTTTGATAGTGATGGCCCACTGTCAGAATCAGACCTGGAACAAGACTCTGAAGAACTTCACCTTTGGAATTCTTTCTATAGTGTAGATCCTTATAATCCCCAAAACTTTACAGCAACAATTCAGACTGCTCCCAAAATTGTTCCTGGAGAACCTTCTGATTCAGGGAAAGAGTTGTCTGACAAGTCAGATCTAGAGAATTCTCAGGCTGATACCTTTCCCGAGACCCCCGATTCTAGTTCTGAGGATGAAGATGACTGGGAATCCAGTGCAGATGAGGCAGAGAGTCTCAAGTTGTGGAATTCTTTCTGTAATTCCGATGACCCATACAACCTTTTAAATTTTACTGCTCCCTTTCAAACATCAGGAAAAGATTCGAAAGACTGTCTTGACTCAAAAAGACTACCTGAGTCCTTGGTGGCCATTTCTGAGTGTCACAGCTTACTTTCTTATAAGGGACAACTGTTAGGGCACCAAGAAGATGAATGTCCAAATTTGCTACAGCGTGAGTTTGTAGAAAAACACACATCTATCAAAAGAAAGAAGGTTGGTTTCTTTTCTTTTAACCTATCTGATGATTCCTTCTATGTTGATACAGTTAGTTAAGATACAGCAGGATGACTGTGTTGGAGGCATAAGTGTCATGTTTATAGGAAGGCCTCTAGGGTCACAAATGTGTATTGAGAACTGTGCAAATCTCTATTTCTTCCAGCAATGTAGAGAACTGACCTGTTGAAAAGGAAAATGCCAGTATATAACTCTTAGCAGGAAAGTGCCATTTTCATTTAGGTCGGTGACAGATGTTTCAACTTCTCTGCTCTTTTTTAGAGAACAGAAATACTAAACTTTGTGTGCTTGTGACTTAATTTTTCTAGAGGTGGAGAAGGGTCTGTTACAAGTTTTAAGATGTTTTTAAATGATTATTTGTTTGCAGATACCCAGTCTTTTATTTGCTTGACCACCATGTTTTTATTCGTGCCCACTAGAACCAAAAGGGATATATCAAATAGCAAGCCGTTTACTGTTTATATGGTTGTTTGTGATATATCAAACTGTTTGTCCTTACTTGGTTTTCATTGACCAATGTTCTTGATTTAAAAACAGTACAGAGTTTTGTAATAACAAAAACTCTTGAGAGTTTAGCTCAGCAGCGTATGTGCTTGCTTGGCAAACCTGTGAGTGCAATCCCCAGTACCAAAATTAAAAAAACAAGACAAAAAAAAAACCCCAGAAAATGGTGTTTCCTTTTTTTAAAAGAATGAAATATTAGTTACAATGGTCAGTTACAGGTTAATAATGGAAGTAAACAATGGCTGTAACTTACTTGGTTTATCTTGAGTGGTTAGTTGCTTCCTCAAAATAACCTTGAAACCTGATGGAATGTTTTACTCTCTTATTATATAGTCAGCTTCACCTAATTTGGGAAATCTTTTAACTATTGCTTTACCCTGAAAACTGAAGTTATTAATTGAAAAGAACCCCTTCCCAAACACAGTGGCCCTGAAAACTGAAGTTATTAATTGGAAAGAACCCCTTCCCAAACACAGTGGAGTCTTTAAATGTTGTAGAGGAGTTTCTTTATTTTGTTGTATGTTTCTTTGTTTGGGAAGACAAGAGTGGTGGGTGAGTTATTACTGAGCTTTGATTCTGCAGCATGAGGAAATTTAAATTCCTAAGTATCATAGTCTGGCCTCAAAGGACTAATTTAAAGTTTCAAAAGTAATCTTAGGATAGAGAATCTTTTTCAGTGGTGGTAATAAGATATGTCTTAATCTGTCACATTAAAAATTAAATTTTAGCCCACACTTCCTTCATACAAGATGTGATAAAAGAACTTTTTATCCTTTTTTAGGGGCGCCCTGACAAAATAAGAGAACCAAAGTGGGGCAATGTTGAGCACTTGGCATCTGGAGACCTGTGCTCTAAACTGCCAAGAGATTGGGGAGACTGCTAGACCTGAGAAGTGGCTAGACCTCTCGTGGCTTCCATCCAGCCACTTACCTGCTGAGAATAGTATTTGTTGTATAAGTGTTGTATGATTTATTGTGGGGTTTTTTTGTGTGTGTGTGTGTGTGTGTATCTGGTGCTGAGGATTGAATCTAGAATCTTAGGCATGCTCAGCACCTGCCCTACCCCTGAGCTACATCCACAGCCACATGTTATTACAAAATATAAGTGAGATGAGTAAGTAAAACTCTCAATTCATTGCCTTGTGTTGGAAAGACTCTGGCCAGTCTCAAGTCTCATTTTAGCTCACTGAGTACAGTGAAACTAGTGAAGTGGATGTGAGACTATCAATTGGACTAGAAGCAAAACTTAGAAAAGATTAGAATGTATGCCTGAATTATTTGACAGGTTTTAACTACCTGCCATTCTTTAGGTATGTGGGAAAATGGGTAGTGCCTTAATTCTGCAAGTGAGACCTTCAGATATTGGAGCTTAAATACTTCATATCCTGGCACAATAGTGCAGATTGTGGAGCCAGACAAACTCAGGTGCTGTGTGATTTTTTTTTTTTTTTTTTTTTTTTTACTATGATTTTGGATGTCACTCAGCGTCTTGTTTTTTATCTGTACGATGGGGGTAATACTTTATACCTCACAGATTTGATGTGAAGATTAAATGGGATAAAAATTGTAAAGCTCTTTGAAAAGAGCCTGGCATATAATAAACACTATGTAGGTGCTTGTTATTATTTATTTTAGTGACACAATGAAAGAGTAACGACTAGAATGCAATATCTTGTAAGGTATTACATCCTATTAATTGTTCTCAGGGGTATTCACTGGCCTGATGTAAAGGGAAGGAAAGTGGTAGGATCTCAGTGGGGTTAGCTGATGTAACTGTTAAACGTAGTTTAAAGCAATTCTTCTCTAGTTTGATATCTTTATTAGAAATTAAGTAGGGATTATTACTTATTACATGTCATCTTGTATAATATTTACATTTTCATGTAAAGGTTGAGCCTTCCTAATAGAAAATTCAGAATCTGAACCTTCTGAGTGCTAACATGATGCTTAAAATCATTTGCATTTTGGAGCGTTTTGGATTTCAGATTTTCAAATTAAGTGCTTCGTCAGTAAATTTTATGCAAATATGCCAAATTCTAAAACACTTTCAAAATATGGTCCCAAGTGTTTCAGGTAAGGAATACCCTACCTATACGTATACTGGTAGCATATTGAATACAATGTTTAACTTACAACATATACACACAATATTTACATGTCAAAAATTCCAAAACCGCAGCATGTTTTTTCAATAATTTTCAATATGTCTAAGAAGAAAAAAGTGCAGACATATCACATGTCATTGATATTTTAAAAACTTTTAAATTTAACTGGACAGTCTCTCGTAACACAGGCTTAAAAATACTTTATTTACCAAATAACTTTCTCTTATATTCCAATTATAGAAGTAATAATATAAAAATCAGTGATTCAAAAATTGGAAAGTACTGAAAAGTACAAAGTTTATTAAAAGAAAAAGGGAAAGTAGAAATAAAAATATTGTTAAGGTCTTCACTGTGATAAACATTGACTTTCAGGGACATAGTGGGTTATTTTCTGAAATACCTGTCATTTTTGGTGAAAAATATCACAAAGCTATACTTCTCTAAGTATTAAAGCACAACAGGGGTAGCTGGGGATATAGCTCAGCAGTGTAAGTACTTGCCTGACAAATGCAAGGTTGTGAATTCGATTCCTGGTACCAAAATAAAATAAAATAAAAGCATAGCAGGGATTAACAGTAAGAAAATTTTAGTTGTCCATCTGAATTCATTTTTATTAACACTAAAAACCAAGATCTGGAGTTGAGAAGACTGTGTTGATAATTATGTAAGTTTCAGGGCACTGTTTTATGGATTTACCATCTGTTTAGAATCTTTTTTTTAAGTTTTAGGTATAGCTGAAAACAAAGGTTCCTCTAAGATATTAGGGCTAATTGTTTTACAGACAGATTTTTTGGTACATTTTACATATACATAATGATTGCATTCATCATAGAAAATTGGCACCTGTACATGGTATAACTTCTCAGAGGTAATTTAAGATCTTAGTGTTATTAAAATTAGCTTTTGTCCTTACAGGTAACCTTTGTTGAAGAAGTTACTGAGTATTACATAAGCGGTGATGAGGATCGCAAAGGACCATGGGAAGAATTTGCAAGGGATGCATGCAGATTCCGGAAACGAATTCAAGAAACTGAAGATGCTATTGGATATTGCTTGACATTTGAGTACAGAGAAAGAATATTTAATAGACTTCAGAAAACATGCTTCAAAGAATTTAATGTTTTCCAGCAATGTTGAATTGACAGCCTGTTGCCCTAGCATATACCACCTCTTTCTTGAGAGGTTTCTTTTAAAAATGAATATTGGTAGCTGGGGACATAGTTCAGCGACCCAGTGTGTGCTTGGCAAGCACGAGGTCCTGAGTTTGATTCCCAGTACAAAAAAGAAAAAAAAAAGAATATTGGCAGCTGTCCTTTGACTTTTTGGTTTTTTTAATTAGAGAGAATTTAACTTGAATCCAGTGACCTGTCTAGTTTAATATTTTTTTGTAACATATCCCATGTAGAAACTATAGTTTTGGAAGCCAGCCTTGACAATGAAGAATATGTGACTTTTAATCTTCTCTTAGTTGATTTAGTTCGATTTGATTTTAAATGTTCTTTCCTTGTTGAGATGAAAGGGGACCTGTTGAATTGTAAGTTTTGCACTTTCAAAACTTGTTTTCTTGGGAACAATATTTATAGGGTATAAGGCCCATTTTTAGTTCTAATTTAAATCATGTATATTTGTGTAAAAACTTAGGCTTCCCGCATCCCAACATTCTGAAGTTAGTAGTCTTTTATGTTTTTCTATATATATTTTTTTTATTCTAGTGATTTAATCTGTCTACCTTAAGGTTAAAAATGTAACTGTGTATATGTTACCAACTTAAAGTATATTTTGTGTCCCTTTTTAAGATTCATTTTTGTTGAAAGTATATGGTGAATTTCTTTTTTTTATGTTAAATTCTACTTAGATTTCAAAGGGCTGCCACAGCATACACATGTACATTGCTCTCTGGTAATTTGGGGAAACTTTCTGCCAAATTTTAAATGTCAAATATATTTCATTTCTGTGCAAGCTGTTCTTTGGAGAGGGTTCTAAATATATTATTGTAGTTCCTGAGTGAATGTAATTTTTTTGTATCTTTCAATGAGTAGAAATTGTAAAACACTCTAGAAAAGTAATAATTGTATCCTAGAGATTTGTTTTTTAAATTCAAAAGCTTAGACTTTTCCTAAAAGGAAGATAGGAGACATGTCAGAGTAATTTGGTTTTGTTGTAAATGCTCAGCAGAAAACCAGTGTTATTAATATGTCTCAGCACTGTCACTTTTAAAACCTGTCAGGGTGACATTGTAAACTTGGAACTGAGCAGTTCTGGATTTAATGTAAAATACTAATTTCAGTTAATGTCCAGGTTTATTGTGCTCTACTATTTTAATAATGAGAGAAGGCGTGACAAGGCTTATACTCCTGGAAAGGGGAAACTGTAGATTTAACAGCTAGAAATTCTTAATATCTTTATCCCAAAATTTACTTTTGAATTGAAGTCTTAGCATTGATTGGTTCTGGTTGGATTATGTAGTTAGATTTTACGTGGTGTCTGTCTGTTAGGTGGAGGAAATGTTAGCCAACTCTTGAATGGTCTGTTTTTCCTCCATGTGCCTCCTGCCACAAGCACTGGAAAGCATTAGAGGATATGACTGCTTAGTTCTGAATTTATTTCAGTGTGAGGATGCATTTTTCATCAGATGTGGTGACAGATTACTACCTCAGTTTATAATCTACCTGGTCATTATCTTATTTGGTCTGCTCTAAGAACTGCTTGTGTTGTTCACTACATTCACTGATACACTGAGAGTGCAGCACCATAACAATTGGTCAGATTTTTGCAGAGCCCTTTTTCTCTGTTTTGTGCACCTTCACTTCAGCCCTGTTAGAGACTGCCCTTCCAAAGTGGTTTAATACCATGGAAATAAGTCTAGTTCCCAGCTCCAGCTATATTGGAAAGTGGGCATCATTTGCCTTGTAAAAAGCTGTGTGACAGTGCAGACAGAGGCATTCTTTTCAAACTAGCTGGAAGCATACTGTTTTGTTTCAGAGACTTAGGTGGCATTTTGTGTTTCTGAAATCCAGCACCTCTGCATACTGGAAAATAATGGAACATCTTCATATTCATTGGACTTTGGGAAATTGTTCCCTTGGGAATCTGCCCTCACAACAGTAATGAGTAAAACCTTGTTAGGGATTCTCTATATACCACTTTCCTTTAGAAGTGATCAGATAATGATGAGCAGCCAAAAGGGGTCTTTTACAATTGGTCTGAAGGGGGAAAAATTTATATCACTGTCATCCCAACTCTAAATGTTCAAGTGACATCTACTCCTTTAGCCCTCAGCCCCTGCCAATGTTTAGAAGAAAATCCTGGAAGGTTTTAAGTAAATGCTTTATACAATAAAGTCTTGTAATGGTGCTTTAAGTGTCAATGTAGCATGGGAAAGGGATTGTACAGACAGGTGAAATTTGCATTTCTGAATGTTGAAATGTGATAACACCTCCCCTCTAACTTGAAATCAAACCATCAGATTTTATTTTTTATAATTTAAGGAAGGTGAAATTAGGGAGCTAGAAACATTAAATCAGCCTCTTTAAACCAGTTTGTTGGGATTTTATAGTGCTCAAATTCTATTTGTGTATATAACTTAACCTGTAAATTGTAATATATTTGCAATTATTAAATGTTACATCATATTTTGATTCAAGTTTATATTGTTATGTTTTATAGTATTTTACATTGGCTTTGGAATTACCAAGCAAGACTATCAGGGTAAAATCATTCTTGTGGAATCACTGTGGAGTGCCGGACAGATTCTATGACATGTAAATTGTACCTCAGTTAATGCAGGGAGGATGGTAGGACGATAAAAATATAATTGCAAATCACATTTTAGTAATAAGAAATAGAGGTTCTTGGAGTATGGAAGTCCTTTCCAGGAGATGAGATTTAATTATAAATTTGGCCCTAGGTCTCCAGTGCTGCTGCAAAGAAAACAGTAAAATAATTTGATTATTCACAGAGGCAATAAAATTTATATGGGCTTAGCATAGTGTTTCAAGTAACAGGGAAATCTGTTTTGTGCATTGTTATTTATAATAACATGGTATATGAGATCATAGTTTTTCCCATTTGTGAAATTAAATATGGCGAGTGTAACCAGAAGAGAAATCTAAACTTTTTTATCCTGAAAAAATAAAATTTAGGTTACATCAAGCCTATTAAATAGCATTCTAGGTTGGGTGTGGTGCTTTTAACCCAGCAATCAGGAGGCTGAGGCCAGAGGACCACAAGTTCATGGCTGGCCTGGGCTACATAGTGACACCCTGTCTCAAATCCTGCCCCTCTAATTCTTAATTCAGGCATTTGGATCTTCCCAGCTAATGAAAAAAAGTTATTTCTCAATTGAAAAGAAAGAAAAACTAACATTTACTTGCAAATATTTGTTATTTAGAACAAATTGAATTGACAGTCTAATAATTTTACTTCCATCTTGGGTTGAGCATTTTTTTTAGAACCCACATTGATGTCAAGCCAGATTTATTGCTGTGCCTATGCTGACATCCTATACAGGCTGATGTTTTCCTCTTTTACACTTACAGAATGTTTAAAAAGTAAATGCTAATCTCAGAAGTTCCTTACAGAAGGATTTGTGAATTTGGTGGTCCCTGATGTTCTCCTTTTGAGGCTTCTCAGACACTTTTCGGTGTGTGTGTGTGTGTGTGTGTGTGTGTGTGCTACTAGGGACCAAAGGTCTTCACACTGAACTCCTCCTTCCCCCAGTTTATTTATTGTCTTTTTGAGACAGGGTGTTGCTATACAGTTTAGGCTGGCCTTGGACTCACTTTGTAGCTCAGGTTGGTCTTGAACTTGGAACCATCCTCCTGCCTCAGCCTGCTGAGTGCTGGGATTATAGGAGTGCGCCACCATGTCCAGCAACCTCAGTTTAAGACAGATTCCTATTAAGCAGGGCATGCTGGCCTTGAACTTTGGATCTTCCTGCCTTAGCTGTCCAGAGTTCTAGGATTAGAAGTTCCATGTATATTATGACAAAAGTGGGAATATTTTTAAAAATTCATTTTTTCTCATAAAATGTATAAAAGTAATAGAGAATGTTGATACTGTTGATAATTTTTTTTTTTTTTTTTTTTTTTTTTTTTGTGCCAGGGATTGAACTCACGACCTCACTTTTGCCAAGCAGGCACTTATAACGCTGAGCTAAACCCCTGGCCCCTATTGATAAAATTTTTTAAACTAGGTGTGTTGTCCAGATGCTTTTTGAGCTGAGGGGCTCAATATCAATTTCTCTTGCTGAACCAGCTAAGCCTTTTGGCTGAAAAATGTCTCTGAGTAGAATCAAGTGTGGTATAGTCAAGTAAAACCTAATCCATGTTGTATACACATGTGCACACACACACATAGATGTTTTCACAATTCATTACATGGATTAGGACATGTGACCTCTTTTGGAATCTTTCTACACTAGTAATTTGCTTATGGGCTGGGCATAGTGACTCCTAGCTGTTCTGAGGCAGAAGGTTCATAGTTGGAGGCCGTTCAGGGCTACATAGGAACCTGTCTCAGAAACTAAAAAGGAAAAAAAGAAAAGGGATTACTGGCTTATAAACTTTAGTCATGTTTGATCAATACAAAATACTAGTCCACCTGAGTTTGCTCCAGTGAGATTTAAATTTGTGTTACTCTGTTATGACTAATACAGAGGCAGCATGGTACCAAGATAAAATAATACAAACATCTTTTCTAACCCTACTCTTTTGAGGATTCATCAAGCAAGACCTATGGTGCTTTCAATTAATATGTTCCAGTTGGCAGGGCTGATGTGGGTTTTAAAGAGTCATTTTATGTACAGAATGGAGGGTGTTAATTGAGGGAGGGTCTTACGTGTTACTGTGTAAGCAGTTGAATTACATCAGTGTCTTTCCACTGGTGGATTCCAGTCTCATGAGGGAAAGAGAGGGTTTGTGGGAAGTGAGTTGCTTGACTCATTGTGAGTATCCCCTTGAGATCCATTGAGGTTGGTGGTCTATTTGCCATTAAGGACTAGAAATCTGAACCACTCAAGAAGCTTCAGAGCAATTTTTCAGGTTTTTTTCTTTTGATCACCTCTTTCATTTCTGTACTATCTTTCAATCTTCTGCTTGTATTTGCTTTTTTTTTTTTTTTTTTTTTTTTTTTTTGTAGGATTGGAGGTTGAACTCAAGGCTTTCCCAGTAAGTAGGCTATACTTCTAGCCCTATTCAAACTTTTTTTATATTTGAAATGGCCCCACTAAAGCTTTGAGTTTTGCTAAAGCTGGGCTTAAACTTGGAATCCTACTGCTTCTGCCTCCCAGAGTGCTGGG